AAAAAAAAAAAAAAAAAAAAATTAAATAGGATCAGATAAAGATTTGGTAAATTAATTACTTGTTCTGCCTAAATGATGCCTCCACCACCACCCCTCCGCCCCCCCTGTACCCCAAGGAAAATAGTCAAATTCAAATTCCTACCCCCATAGAATCATCACTATGCCAGACTACCCCTTCAGATTTTATAGTAAATAGCTGACATGCCACTAGAGTCCCCCCCAGTGTATATTTATGTCAATGTGTGTATTAGGGTTATCTCCAGCCAAATGTTATCTCAAGTTATAGCTTGTAAAGAGGACAGATTTATGTCAATGTTGACTATTGGGAATAACTACAGGGCTTACATAGCATCTACAGATGGGATCAGGTTGTATGCTTTTAAAAAAAAAGTTGTGTATTTCCCTTTTTTTTTAATGGATGCACCCTCGAGGTATAAGAAGGTGGAGTTAATTTAAGCAACTTCAAAGGTGTTAGGTTACTATTTGTGTTTTTGGGGGTAGGGTTTTGCTGTAAATAAGGACGGGATAGTTTGAATGCAGAAGTATGAGAGAAATTGGAAGATGTTTGTTCTTTGAATAGAACCCCACCTTAACAATACATTATTATAGTGACACAAAAGTCTGGCTTGCTTTTATTAAAACTGGGATTAAAATGGCATTGGTATTAAACTGTTGTATTTGTTCTCTGTCACCTGTTATCATACTTTTATTTTTCTATCAGCGCTTGTTTCAAATCAATCAAACTAAGTAATAATATATTGCAGAATCTCTCTTTAAAGTACCAAAAAATAAAAGGTTAAATTAATTGAAAAAAAAAGAAGAAAAAGCAGTACAAGTAAATATGTGACACATCATGCACATGCTCATATTACACCACATCTAAAGAGGCGAGATGGGTGTTTTGACATTTTTCGAGTTACTGGTCCGTTTTCATGTCCCATTATATGACACACACTATCCTTCCAGATGAGACAGTGGACAAAGTCACACAAACCACACCTTAGCAGTGATAATGATATGTAACCTTAGCTTTTTGTGTGTGTGTGGAAATGACCTGAACGAAGTGAGTGAAAGGCTCATTTTTCATACTGGTGGTGTAGACAATTTAAGACCCCATTTCCATAGATTTTAGATCGATCTATCCCTGTGGGGAGTCTCACTAGATTACTGTCAGCTTAGCCGGCTTAAGCGGCTGTCCCGCCTACTGAAAGCTGTAAGGGGGTAATTAACTATGGTGCGCGCTCGCCTGACTGCAATTTAGCGTGAACCCCCAGGGAGTTAGGTCAATCTAAATCTTAATCCCTGGATCAATCTAAATCTCTGGGAATACACCCTAAGGGTGGGGCATGCATATATTTTATTTAAGATGTTAACAAGCGATTTAGAGCTGGGAGAGGGGGGTGTGGTCCTGTATACGTGACTGTGTGGTCACATCATACCAGCTCATGTAGTTAATAATAAAAAAAGTCTAGGAGAGTGTTTTATTCTTATGACATCTTTTACTTTAATCTTTTATTACTCTGTTTGTACTGCATTGAGTACTTGCAAGGTATTTGATATTTCATATTAATATTTCTATATTTGAGGCATACGGGAAACATATTTACCTAATAAGATTTAGCTATTAATGCGTGTATTTTGTAACTGTCTGTGCTGTTAATTTTAAATCGTCTCTGCTTTTATTGTCTTTTTCTTAGTTGTCTGTGAACCTATTGGTGCCAATAGTTGAGTATAAAATACATACGTATGTCCTTATAGATCTTTTGATTCAGATAAAGGTAGTATTTTTATCCTGACAGTTTTAAGACTGTTGTATATATCACGGTTAGTTTCGGTCACAATATTGTGTGTCTCCTCGAATGACATTTCTGTCACCTTATGATGTTACAAAAGCAGTATAAGGGCTCATTCCCAAGGGTGCTTTCCCAGAGATTTAGATAGATCTAAAGATTAAGTTTTAGATCGACCTAACTCCATGAGGGTTCACGCTTAATTGCAGTCAACCGAGCTGGCACCATAGTTAATTACCCCCTTACAGCTTTTAGTAGGCGGGACAGACCCTTAAGCCTGCCAAGCTGACAGTAATCTAGTGAGACTCCCCACAGGGATAGATCGATCTAAAAATCTATGGAAATTGGGTGCAAGAGAACTACCATTCTACATTCTTGATTGATCCAACTGTGTGGGGACCTTTACAGAATACAATCAGATTAACAGACTAACATACCTTCTCTTGTTTCCAACATACTTGTATAATCCCCTGCTTTTTTATATTCCATTTAATGCCAAGAGGAAGCATGTAAATCTGATTGTATTTAGCAAGAGTCCCCACAGATCTGGATCGATCTATGTAGAACAACAGTTCCATTGGGAATGAGCCCAAAGGCAGGTTCTTCACATTTCTTGAGAGCTAGAAGTAACTTGATATTTCAACCACCTGCAATCAGAATCTTCACAGCCATGTTACTTATAGACGTTTTACAATAAAAGAACTTGCAAGAGATAGGCCTTTATGCCAGAAAATTCAATTTCCTGCTCTTATAAAGTTACAAAGCTTTGAGTAGGACATGTTCACAAATATATACAAGTGTATATATTCTTTGATGTGTCCTGAAGTGGAACGCTCACAGGGGCGTTCAAAATTATTAAGCTCATCTTTGAAAAATTGAAATTATCACCTGCAACGAAAATATGTTAAATGGAGAAAATAGCATGCTTCACCAAGTCAAGTAGATTTAAATGCACTTTGATAGGAAAATTTTATGTAGTTACATACATTTTAATTTCCTTGGCCATTATTTTTTCTGCTTTGTATGGAGTGTATTGGGAGGTAGAAAACGTTTTAGTTTATCGAGTTCTGTACTACCCTGTAAGATGATATACTTGTCGTGATCTGATACCTTTGTATAAAATACATCATATTATAACATATCAGTGAATACTCTGGTTCAGATCTCTATATGACGGCTGTGAAGGTGGGGCTTGGTAATTTCAGCTGCATGTTAAGTAGAAGATGAGCTTAGAACCGCATTTTGTGCACTGTTCTACATGATCTGTGCACTTTGTCAATGGGAAGGTTTCGTATAAACAGTTTTCCGAAATGGCCTTTTTTTATTTTCTTTAAATATTTTTAAGTACATGTCATTTAGTTGAAAGTTATTAAAAAGGTAGTATGGTCATGTTCCATTAGCTGTTGATTTGAGAATATGACTGTTTAACTTCATATTTGGAAAGAAGTGCCTGTTATTTGTTTCAATAAATTGTTTACAATTGTGATTTCGCGACAGCATCCTGTTTTGCTTTAATTATTAAATGCAGCATGAGAGGAAATTGCCATAATAGTTTTTAATAACTTTTTAACTTTTGTCTTACATCCATGGGGTTGTTTTCCTTCCTTTACGTATATATGAATGTCATCACCTTTGGATCAATTTCACTTAAATCGACCACACAAAAGCCAGGTTCCTACATTTGTCTTCGGTGTGTGCTTTTCTCTTGTAATCAATTCTACTGTTTGTAACACCACAAACTGAAAATGTAGAGCAAAACTGAGTCCTTTCCCCCCCTCGATCAATTTTTGTGAAAACTAACAAAATATAGCCCTTGTCCATATGTGGTGATCAATTTCGGTGAAATATATCAGGTGGTAGCGAATGTTAGCCGGTTGATTTCACACTAGCAGTGTTTATCATCGATTCCGAATCCAAATTTGAGCCAGTAGAATGTATTGGCGTACATGTATACTGTTAGTGGAGAGGAAGATGATTGCATTCCATTGTAGGCTAGTTGGCTCCACATTGTGGTGTCAAGCAATCAATTTTGACTATTTGTAATCACACTCCTACTGATTACTTGAAATCATACCAAAAACCTGTATTTTTCATTAAAAATGGAATGTTTAAGTTAAACGTAAATCCTTAACCTAAAAATTAATTTTATTTCATTTTTTTTTCTTTTTTTTCCTTCAGAGATATGATAGGAACTATGCACAGTGGCAGCAGGCAAAGGTGGAAACCAAAGACACAGAGACGCGTATCTTGAAGGAGAAGATCTTACTCCAGCAGGAACTAATTCGCACACAAGATGAGCTGTACCAGAAAAAACAAGAAGTCAGAGACAGACGTCAGAGGAAGGTTTGTGCACTTTTTTCTAGTATACTAGACATTTTCAGTTTTCTCGATGTGATTTAATTGTGTTTAAATTATTCTCTCTCTTTCTCTGCTTCCCTATTTACATTTTTTGATGCACTGATAAGTACCTGAGTAAATGTCTTAAAAGTTTGCTGATGGCTGATAGTTTACATCTCTCAGCTTTGGTGAAAGACATGATGTTAATTTTTGAAGTAGTTTAATACTGAATATCTGTAGTTTTTCTTTGCTTTTTTCTTCCTAAGTTTGTATATTAATTGTTATCAGATGCATGAAAAATACCATAGTAATATTGCTGGAATATAAAAAGTAGAATGAATCACATGGGTAGGTCTTTTTGTTCCTAATAAATTACTTTCAGATTTGTATGTAATGAAGTATCACATGACTTATATTAATCCATGATTATGCATTTGTAATGTAAGTCTTATTGAATAATTGAAACTCTTATTAATGTAGTTATTTAATTGATATAATTTTACATTGTAACTTCATTTGAAGTAAATTATCAGCATGACAATGATACGGAATCCTGCTTATTATAATAACGTGCGTGGTATGTATTGCTGATTAATGTAGTTATGCACTTAAAAAGTCAAGCACAATATTATCATGCAATGTTTTATTAACTGCTTAATTTCCCAGTCATATTAGCCGTAACACTGGAAATTGTTTGATTGATCATGTGTAACGCCAAGCAAGCTGGTGCAAACTGTTCACACTTTGAAGTAGCCCTTTTATCGGACGGGACTAACATTACAACATAAGGTATAAAACAATGGATTCCATAAGCCTTTGACATTTGAATCTTTCAATTACAACAACATTGGGGATTGTGTAACATTTCTTAAGATGCACTGAAAAGCAGCTCCTGCTGTGTTGAAAAATAAAGACTCAGTTAATAATTGAACAAAATGGGGCATAAAGCAGGAAGGTAGCATTTATGCAATATGGACGCTATTATGAGCGCCATATTGTTTTTACAAGCTTGAGCAGTTGTGCCCTATATTTGTCTAAGTAGACCATGGTCGATATCACACCCGCTTTTATCATCCAGAGTACAAGGCAGGTCCACGCTCGATTGCCTCTGTAGAAAACCTGTGGCGGGCCTGCAAACTAAGAAGTGAAAGGGATCAATGTGACCATATCATATTCCAATATTTGTCCTCCCTTTGATGCTACCTCCGCTTCACTGTTCGTGCAGAGCACTGGCTGACCCGACAAAAACTAGGCTGGCTGCTTCGGTTTTCCCGCCATCTGGCCTTGCCCCCTTCCCTTCCCATTTGATGTCCAGGGAATTGAAAATTGATTCTGGCTGGGAAGAGTTCTAATTCATTTTAAAACCTTCAAGTTGGTTTGAATGGGCTAGTGCTGTGAATGAAACCTTAATGGCTTGGAATGTTCATTAAGTTTTCTCAGTAATCTGTTTTATTTAAATTTATTTGTATGTCTCTTGACCACACCCTCATTGTGGCATTATCTATAGTGGCGCCATTGCTCTTTTTGAAGTGTAAAACCACTGATTGAGAAAAAGGGTGGATTGATTTTATTGAGTGAAAATATGGAGATAGACATCTTGAAGGATTTTGTGAATGATTTTTTTTTTGGAATTGCTTCATGCTTGGCCTGTTTTTCTAAATTGATTGGTCACAATTGTTATTGGTAGTGGTACTAGGTTTTTTACTTAATAGCAGGAATGTGGTTTTGGACATTTGTCTTTTTCCTGTCATCATCCTGTACTAAAAGGAAAGATGAATGACTCGATCTATTGGAACACACTAGAAGGATGGCTTGCCATTGGTTCATTGCTGTGAGCCAATTAGTACCATGAAAATTTTGTTCCCAAGACGGAAAGAGGGTTTGAAAATGTTTATTGGCTCAATCAATATCATCTTTAGTTTCAACTCTTCTTGATTGACAAGGATAAAAAGTCGGCTCCGAATAAATGTAAGCTGCACATTGGCACAATAACTTTTCAAGCAGTAACACCAACCAGAAACTTTTACATAAATTTACGTGGGGAATTGTCGCCTTAAAACTGCTTGTGCATTGTTCCGTACAACAATAGCAAATAGCATGAAGCTTGGGGTATTGATTTAAAAAGTGCAACAAAGATAAAAGTGAAGCCGTGAAATAAAATTGGCTCATTTTCCTGTCAGCTCCACTCTTTCTCTCCCAGTCAAGGCAGATAAACCTTGGGCATTGTGTTGTGTTATTACTACAGTTGTGATCAATATGTAAGAATCAATACAGGTTTTGTTCTTGACTTAGCGCACATTGTAGGTTCAATGGAAACAGATCAATTATTGCACAAAGCTGGAAAATTGGACCGCCTTACTCTAGCTCGTGTGCCGAAAGAGCATAAATATTTTAAACTTGCCCAGCGTTGCCGTAGACAGTGCTCCTGAGGGAGGGGAGATGGGAAGTTGTGTCAAGAGAGTTGCGATGAAGTAGCTAACGGTAGTTCACAGTAGATGATGGACTCATCACTGAGGTTCACTGGCAAGGCAGTGCCTGGGGGACTGCACTTGTTTGCAGTAGGATAGTTCCATTAACTCTAAGCTACGAGCTTCAACTCCGTCTAAGTGCGCCACTCATAAGCTATCGGTTGACAAAATATAGGCAACTTGTGCATCATGTGTATTCTGTTCGAAAAAAGGTACGTATTGCATAAGCAGTGAAGTTTAGAGTCTGTTCTTCAAGGGAAGTGAGGAGGGTTGACTCAAACAGTGTTTTGCATGAAATTATTTGAATGAGAAACATAGGGACTGAACTGAGACTTGCTGCATATTTTCCCCACCCACTCTTCTCTCCCCTGGGTATTTTTGACCATGTGCTACAATTGACATACATGCATGCGTGCTTGCCCTATTGAACTGTTTTGGGACTTGTTGGCAACCATTTTTCACAATTTGTGGGCTACTGAAAAGTGTCAAGAACATACAAGGTATAATTTTGGTATATTTTAAGAATTTTTGAAGACCAGTTTATTTTTCATTTGTTGTTTTGAAGTTCAGGGACTTATAACAGAGTGTTTTTTTATGAGGAGAAAGTTACAGATACTGATAATATTTCTGTCAAAGACAATTGTTTGTCTGTGATGGTACTTTTTCTTAGCTATAAGAAAATGGTGCAAATAATGTTGACAGAAAAAATTCATGCCAATGAGACAAATGACTCATTAGATAGGAAATTATAGATTTTGAATGTTTCGAGTAAGTTTGTTTATTATTATCATTATTATAATGTTTAGGAATTATTAAGATACTTTACAGTGTATTGATTGTGAAGGTAGGTACGCAGATACAGTAAATGCCTCAATGGTGCGTTTGATGTCTAAATTTGTGTGCATGTTTTTATGTGAAGTTGTGTCATTGGTCATTTTTTTATAAATATCTGGCATATACCATGTGAGATATGCCATCTTATCATGTGTTATATTTTTGTGAACAATGCCATTTTGCAAGCATAATTATTTGCATGAAATATACGTATGTAGCTTTATGTGTTTTTATGCAAATTAATGTGTCAAATTCTCATTTGAAAGTTAAACCTGCATTGGAACTTTTGAAACATCAGTATCAAAGTTTGATTGTACTGTTTTGGGTTGAATTGTTTGTTTTTTGTGATATAGATAATGCTAAAGAAAAAAAAAAAACAAAAACAAAAACAAATGTATTATTATTTGAACAGTAAATTACAAAGCATGTGGTATATGTATGTATAAGTTTTGTATTGGACCTGTTGCATGAAGATGCTTTGCTGACCCTGTTTGCTCCATTGTTGCCTGTGTTGGAATTGCCACTCCATGCCTAGCTGTTGTTCTGGAATTGCGTGTACATATCATGTACGCTGACCATGGACACCTCAGCGCCATCTGTAGGTTGTTTTGCCCATATAGGAGCCTGGTCTCAAGTGGTGGGTAGATGTCTGGCAAGGAACTGTCTAGCACCATTTGAAATCAGTGCCCCTGATGGTTGCCACGACGAAAAGGTCATGTGATCCAAGTCAGCCATGACAGTTTTGAGTGAAGTGAAGAATTTTCTGTTTGTTTATGCATGCATTGTTACTACCATAAGTATCAACAAAAATCGATGTATCTCATAAATAATTTTAATTTTTTTAAATTTATTTTTGAAAAGAAATTGTGATATGTTCCCTAGTCAGTGGTTGATATTGAATCAATAAGTTTATGTACGATTCAGACTAAAATATGAGTTTCACTAAGTAAAATATTGCAAATCAATTTAGTTATTAAATTTTTGTGAAAGTAGGTTTTTATTTGCCAAATTGTTATGAAATGTATATAACTATTCTATTAGTTTCCAGAAAAAATACTGATGATGGGTATTCGTAAGTCTGAAAATTTGTCAGATTTTGTCAGATTTTAATATTAAAATTTCATTAAGGTTTGTCTTATGTAGACTTAAAAATACCATGATATCATTATTTGGATAAACATTTATAGATAATTTATTTACAGCAGCTCCTTCTGGACCCTGCTTTCATTTGGTGCATAGATTCGTGAACATTTCTAGCACCATTTGAAATCAGTTTCCATAAGAAGAGTGATAACAACAGTAAAATTTTCAGAAAAAATATGACAAGATAAAAAAAAAAAAAAAAAAAAAAAAAAAAAAAAAAAAAAAAAAAAAAAAAAAAAAAAAAAAAAAAAAAAAAAAAAAAAAAAAAAAAAAAAAAAAAAAAAAAAAAAAAAAAAAAAAAAAAAAAAAAAAAAAAAAAAAAAAAAAAAAAAAAAAAAAAAAAAAAAAAAAAAAAAAAAAAAAAAAAAAAAAAAAAAAAAAAAAAAAAAAAAAAAAAAAAAAAAAAAAAAAAAAAAAAAAAAAAAAAAAAAAAAAAAAAAAAAAAAAAAAAAAAAAAAAAAAAAAAAAAAAAAAAAAAAAAAAAAAAAAAAAAAAAAAAAAAAAAAAAAAAAAAAAAAAAAAAAAAAAAAAAAAAAAAAAAAAAAAAAAAAAAAAAAAAAAAAAAAAAAAAAAAAAAAAAAAAAAAAAAAAAAAAAAAAAAAAAAAAAAAAAAAAAAAAAAAAAAAAAAAAAAAAAAAAAAAAAAAAAAAAAAAAAAAAAAAAAAAAAAAAAAAAAAAAAAAAAAAAAAAAAAAAAAAAAAAAAAAAAAAAAAAAAAAAAAAAAAAAAAAAAAAAAAAAAAAAAAAAAAAAAAAAAAAAAAAAAAAAAAAAAAAAAAAAAAAAAAAAAAAAAAAAAAAAAAAAAAAAAAAAAAAAAAAAAAAAAAAAAAAAAAAAAAAAAAAAAAAAAAAAAAAAAAAAAAAAAAAAAAAAAAAAAAAAAAAAAAAAAAAAAAAAAAAAAAAAAAAAAAAAAAAAAAAAAAAAAAAAAAAAAAAAAAAAAAAAAAAAAAAAAACAGGTTCAGTTTTATATTCACCATAACTATAACAATACCACATTTTGTTAGAAAATGTTGTGCCTGCACAAAACCATTCCTACAGAAGCTTTGTTTGATAGTTGCTATGGAAACAAGCATGAATGTTTCATAGATTATTAATTGAAAGGATCAGATTGGAGTTCAATTAACTAAAGCATGTCGACTTACACCACAATATGCCCTATTGCAGTGCAGTATATGGGGCCTACTAGACTGAAGTCCAATAGTAATGCTTCAGTAATTATCCCTAGGTTGAAGATTTAAGGAGAATTATGATGTGTAACATTACCCCACAATGATGATCATAATGATGTTAAGCTCTGCATTTGGGGCTAGTGCCAGAAGATCAATTTTTCTGTCAACTGCAGATACTTTGTCATTACTGCACTGTTATGTATATACATTGGGATTTATGTGTCTGGATAAGGATTATTTTGGTTGTGCGATAAAGTTATTTGCCATTTTTCTCATTGAAAATATAAAATAGTTGTGAAAGGAATTACTCATAGAAGTATGATTTGGGATAAATATTATATTATATATTTTTTAAGTACAAATGGATAATGAAATGCTGCATTGTGTGACAAAAGTTACTATATTTAGTTCAGTTCTTAGATATTATGGAGCTGATATCTTTAGAGCTCATCTTGATGATGCACTTAAAGATATTTTATTAATTTTTTTTTTTTTATTTAATTGGAAAAGAAGGAATTAAGTGAAAAGCCAACCTTGAAACAGGGGGGAAAGGAGACATTTTACTTTTCAGAATGTGCACTAATTAATTTATATGAATATAAAACATTAACATCAATTTTTTAATTTGTCATTGCAGAAACGTGAGGCAGAGAGAATCACAAGACAGGCCAAAGAAGAAGCTCTTCGTCAAATCTGCCGTGAATCATTAGGTAGGTTACTTAAGTCATCAAAACCATCCCGATAATTGATGAAATAATTTAAAATAAAATTTTCTGTCTGCAATGTGGCATTAAATAGACTGATGACAGTAAATGCACACAATTTTCAGGAAGAAGTAGTCCTGTCGAATTTTTTACTCAATCACTACTGATCTAGATGTACATGTATATATATGGGCACGCTAAAACATCAGATGCAATTTGATGGACTGTTACTGAACACAAAAGACATCACTGCTTGATGGCATTTTATTTCTGCCTCTGAGTGATCGGCTCTTGCAGCATAGGAATCATGGTTGGGTGACTGACTGAAAATAAATGCTACTCAAGATTTTCTGGGCTGTTATCCTTCAAATGATTCTAGGATAGATTTGGAACCAAACAAATATCCATTTGCAGTTTGTCTGCTCTGGAACCGTGCTTTGAAAAAATGGAGGTATTTTAGGTACTTCAGTGGCAGCTTGCACATTTGTACATTAATCCAGCTATTTGTTAATAACATTTCTTGCTTAAGTGTGGAATTCATTACATTTGAAATATTTGGAACTGTAATATATGCTTTGTGTTTAGGCTTAGGGATAATAGAAAAATAGGAAATACTAAACCTATGAAGTTATACAGTAATAATGCAAGTTGTGATCAGTATTACTTAATAGTAAATCCAGTATATTTTTTCCACCTTTTAGCATAATATCACACTGCTGGATTCATAAAAAGATAACTCACTCAGTTGAAAAATAGTTTGGAAGGTTTTCAAAAAATGTTGTGAGAGAGGTGAAATGCTGTAACAGTTGGTAAGGGTGTTTTCATTTCACAGAGTTCTCATTCACATTCACCATTTTTTCCTGTAGGCTGTTAAGCAAAGCAACTGTTCCATTCACTGAAAATAATTATTAATATTTGTTGATACTGTATTGAAACATTAAGTCATTGATTATACTTTGGTCTGAAACTGTGTTAGATTCTATTCAATACAGGTATTTTAAATGACGTGTGGACTGGAGAAATAAGAATTGATGCCACAATTTGATTTCTCTTAAGCTCGCTTTGTAAAACACAAAGTGGCTTTCTTGTTGATTTTTGACTGTTTTGTCATAGCGTCTTGCCATTTTGTGTGAGTGTTTAGTTTTAATTTTCGATTAAGTTCATAGCCTTTGTTCTGTTCTGTTATTACAATGAAATTGAACTTGAGGCAAGGTGCTTGTGGTAACTCTTTTGTCGGATCCAGTTTCACAAGCTGGCAAGTTGATGTTGAAAAAGAACCTAAATCATACTGTTTAGTGCTCCTGTAGCTGTTAGCATCTATCTTGTAACTCTCCAGTGTTCTGTTTTCTTGCAGAGGATGACAGAAAAGCTAAGGACCAACGTCGCGAGAAGCAAAAGTTAAAGTCTGAAAAGTCTCTCAAGTCATCTGGAGAGGAAGCCCAACTCTCGCATCCCTCGGCGCATTCCACACGGCCGTCTTTGTCTCCCTTGGGGTCCACCGACGGACAATCACAAGCACTGTCAGTTATTTCCATGCTGTCCAGCAAAACACGAGAGACGCATCACGGAACAGAAATGGAAGGCATCCAAGAAGAGAAGACCATGGATTTCCCTTGCCCGTATGCCAACGGAAAGAAGAAAAGCAAGAAACTTACAGAAGAACAAAAGACCAACCTTCCGTGGCATCATTTGCAACTCTATGAGCTCTATGGTGATGAAGCAGATGACTTTCTGTACCCAAAAATGGAGCAGACGGTCCAGAAACAGATTAACCCCAACCTCAGGAAACAAGGAGGTAATTATGTACTTAGTCGTGTAGATTTTAATTACAGCTCTGTAATAGAGTTAGGATGTTTTACCTGCACTGGCATTTTCACTTTGGCTTAAATGGTATGCCAACAAATATCACTCCAAACAGACTACAACTCTACCCACACTCAAACCATTTGCTTCTTCACTGTGTTATCTATTCCCATAACTGTCCAAACTGCTATCAACTTCCCCATTCCGTGTGCACTTGTTTCTTCTTCATCTAAAGCAGAACTTGTTTAAGGCTTCGTTCACATGCAATGTCTATTTTCTAAATTCTATTTTCTATTCGCGCTATCTTATGATCACGGTCTGTGCACTGAATATCCCGCCGCGTAATTACTGGCAGCGCGAGCCAGTTACTTATAGTAACTTATAGTAACTGGCTCACGCTGCCAGTAATTACGCCGCGGGATATTCAGTGCACAGACCGTGATCATAAGACATACCGAAAATAGAAAATAGAATTTAGAAAATAGACATTGCATGTGAACGAAGCCTAATATACTGTGAAGGTTGGTCACAGTGCATGGCCAGACTGCATGGCGGGGGAAGGTTGGTCAAAAGAGTGGGAGAAAGGTGGGCTCAAAATGTGTGTCCTTTAGGAGTAGAAAGGTTCTGCTTTGAGGCACAATTTTACATGTAGGTTCTGCCATGTCTCAAGTTGGGTCAACTTAGGGGTCAAAAAGGGCGACTTTTCTGGAAAAAGAATCCCCACCCCTTTGAAATAAATGGACACAGGCTGTTTTATACTAAAATTCAAACTTTCAGAATCATTGGAGATACCTTGTTTGTAAGCAAGTGACAATAGATGTCCCACCTGTACCATTTGACCTGTCAAACGGAACATTTCTAGACTTAGTCTAGTTATAATGACTTAACTGCTGTCATAAATTACTGTCTCATCAGACCTTGTAATTACTTATTCAGCTATTCACAAGGAACCAATATGTTCCTCTGTTTCCCGTTCATTTCTACTGTAATTGGTTCGTGTCGTGTGCCATGCCTGGCAGTTGGTATATAGATAATAATGTGTAATCACTTGGTCTGCCGAGTTTGTATGGTTCTAAGTTTAGCTATTGCAATTGAATTGGAAATGCTTCTTCAGTACGCCTGCCCTGCAGTTTGAACATGGCCTCTGCTCATAGTCCACTGGTCAAGCAATTTCACAGTAGGAGGCAAACTTGACAATGTATTGGATATTTGAAATTCTGTGTTTGGCCACCGATCAATAAGATGCCAAGATTTGGAAATCTTGCTTTAGAGGCTGAAATATAATTAGTCCTTCAAGGTTCATGTAACCAAGTCCCCTTTATGTATTGAATATAAACACACATTGTTGATTGCAACAATAGTGAGACAACAGCAGTGAAGCTAGAAATATTATAACTGTTACAATATTTAAGGTTGGGAATTTGTCTGAATCCTTGCCTACAGACAGGTTTTAATAACTAAAGAACGGAGGTGTATTTAGATAATTACTTTGCAGCCTAATGAAGGATGTGGACAAGCCGGCTTACGGCCAGGCAGCAAGCACGCGTGGTGTTATGTAATTCATTAATCTTTCAGCAGGTGTTTGTTTTATGCACAGTGGTGAGTCATTGAGCGAGGGGGATGATATTGATGTAAAAGCTGATATACCCGGTGCACTGTATTGTTCTTCTTATTTAAAACTGCTGTGTCCAAGAACAAAACAAGAACATCAAACATTTTGGACTGACTTTGTTTTTAGGCCTTAAAAATATTTTCAAGATTGAAAGCAAAGAACACATAGTATTTTACAAGCATAAAAGCAATTGGAATCCAAATTGTACCAAGTTTGTAGCTGATTTTCTTAACTTAGCTAACCACGGATGATATTTAAATCAATTGCAATAGGCATTTACTAATTAACAAGTAATTTACAAGTATTCGAAGTGCATTTGACCAGTGAAAACACTTTGAAGCAAGCCTGCCAATCAAAAGACCAACCCTTTTGATAAATCACAATAACAATTAACAAAACAAACTCACAGAATGATTGCAAGAAGTCAAAAGACAATAGGGTTCAGGTGTTTGATTAACCATCCGTGATTCAAACAATAACAGCATCCAGGTCTAATTGACCAGATAAAACAATAAATGACACAGAGCACAGAGCCTGATGTTAAAACAACAAACTCTGAATAGAACGTTTGAAACAAAAGGTTGTGCGCTATATAAAAGTTCGATGGCAAAGTGGTACTTCTGTGTTGACAGAGCTATAAGCTCTCTGTCATTGAACAGGCAGGCAGGTGTCACATGATATCAGTAGGTTAAGCTCTTAGAATAATGGTAATAGAAAGCAAACGATGTGGTAGTTGAAAAGCAACCATGGGCAGCAGGAAACGAACATGTTTGGCTTTTAATTTTGGGGCACTTGTTGTCTAAATAACAATTTTAGTGTGGTCAATATATGGTCATAATAGTTGGATGTTGTGGTGGGTTAGAGAATGTGTATATAGGCATCATTTTGTGCGTTCACGTTTACTTTTGTGTGTGTGTGTACGTGCGTGCATGCCTGTGTGCGCATTCATGCCCATCATACTTTGGGCATGTATACCTTTAAGTAAAATTGTACAATGCTGAGCAGGATGTTTCCTTCTGCATGTTTGCATTTAAACATATCTCTAGTGCTATAAAAGATCCACGTACAGAATACCTCGGCATAAATATACTGACATTTTTGTACCATATTTTTGGCCCATCAGTATCACAGAGGTCAAAAATGCAGTCATGTCCCAAACCCTTCAGATATCCTTTCACTGAATATTATAGCAAGTTTGAAGGCAATGTAAAATAGTTATTAGGATATATTATTCTTTACTCTTGTCAGTAGTTTGGACTTGTATGACCATTGCCTCTCTGTCCTTCTTTGACCTAACAGTTAAAGGTACTGGTACTGGCATGGCCAGATGAGCTGCCCACTTGGGGGGTAAGAAGTCACGTATTCGCTCACCTCTGCCCTCATAGACATGCATGAATTGGTTTTGGTAATTTGGTGCTCTTTTAGCCTGCGTTTTATCTTTTGATTTCTGGTTGAATGTGATAGGTTGAGGTCACCAAGTGTCAAATCTATATGATGAAAATGTTTCTGATCAGTTGTTTTATGAGACTGGAAAGGGCTCCGTTGCACGTGAGTGACCCTGTCATTGGAGATCAAACTAGGAGCAGACACCGTGACTGCAGTCATTGATAAGTGTGTAGGAAGTGGGGGGTTCACCTTTGACATTTTTCAAACAGTTTTTGGAGGCTTTGATGAGATGAGCTCGCAATTGTCAAACGTACATGTGCATAATCATATACATGGACAAAAACATTAACATTCAAACTGATACCACTGTGAATATTTTTACCAAAAAACCATCCGATGTCTGCTAAAAATATCTCCAAATGGACAAAAATTGAAACTGTGAAGCTCAAAACAGGTGGATTTTCATTAAATGTCTCGAGCAAACATGAAAAAAATCATGACAGGTCTGTGAAGACTTAATCCTCATTAAATGCGGAATGACAGGGTTGTCAGAGAGCATGATTGGTCCAGCTACCTACTGTGCTCACTTGACTTGCCAGCGGGGGGCTTCAATTAACACTCAATTTGATTGGATTATTAGCCACGCTCAGCTGCACTCTTTATTCTGTTGGCAATTGTGTTGCGTTCACCGACTGTGTCTGCATAAATATTTTACACGCACGGCTTTATTGACAAGAAAATTGGATGATGAATGCCTTTAATGGCTCCTGCTTGTGAAATTCGTTATTTACTCTGCAGTAAACTATTTTGTGGCTAAAGGTGCCCTCAGGCCAATAGTGTCTTTTAAATGATGCACTTATGTTTTACTGTGTAATATCTTGTTTGCTGTAACTGGAGTGATTTATCAGGGTAGAACATGTTTATAGGTTTGAATGTATGTTTGTCTGTATGACTGTTGGTTAGTAGGTCCACGTGTACATTAGGAAGCTTATAGTAAGATAAGACATGTTAATTATTTTTACATCCTTTTGATATGCAGAAAAGTAAACCCAAATGCATAATTGAAAAAAACTCTTTTAAAATTTAAATAATATATAAGTGGCATGGACATTCTTAGGTTTGGTTTAAGTTTGCCCCAACTCTCTTTTAAACCAAACTTTTTAAAACATTATGGAATGCACATTGAATCTGAAATAATCTTAAATCTTAATAACTAATACACAAATGCACACATTGAAATGTAATTATATAATAATTTTTTATACATGTTAATTGCATTTTTTCCATTTTGAATTATAATTATTTATGTAAGGAGTTTTTCGCTCATTATTATGCACTAATTAATGAAAATCTGACTTAATATTATACATATAAGTACAAGCACAGCTGTTCAGTAATGTGGTGCACATACTTTCTCTAATCACATCAATTGTGATAAAATATTTAATGACAGAATCAGTAAGATCAAAAATTGGATTGGTTATATAATTATTATTTTTCCACCAGGTCGGGCCGGTGCTGAGGTACTATGGGGCACACTAAGAGGAGACACCACAAAGAGGCTAATGCGCGCAGACGGCAGGATCCCCGGTGAACTGAAGAATGCTTATGGTGCATTTGTGCGCGAAGGGCTTGACCAGGGAAGGAGGCCAGTCATGAGAAATTTCTGTGCGACTGAAGATGTAAGTCTGAAATAAGGGACAAAAACAAGTTTCAGAAAATAATTATTATTATTATTTTATTTATTTTTTTTTTTAATACTGAAAGTACTCATTGCATGCCAGGTTCTTGGATCTTTCCCTTATACACCATTTTGCCAGACCTGGAATTGGTATCCCACAGTTTCTTGTAAAAAGACACTCAACGGTTGGGATTATGAAATATCTTTATTTTAATCCAAGAAGCTGCTACAGTGTATGTACTTTACATGAGTTAACCTTGGCACTGCACTAAACCTCAATATAAACTGCTCCCAGCTAACACTCTAAATTCTCAAACAGCAGTGACTTTCATATTCTGATAGGCATGCACTTGAATACACTAAGTGGAAATTTCATACACACTGAAATTGAATCTGCGAGCTGTGCAGACAGTGTAAGTCAATATGGTGATGTTTACCCAGAATTCCCACCAGTGCGAATTCTGCGATGTAAATGTACCGTTACTGCAGTTGACCCCGGCTGGTAAATATTTGTGAACATCTTCCTTATATTTGGATCCACATTCTACATGTAAATTGATGAACAGACAGCCCATGTTCAACAGTGTGATTTAATTGGGTTTTCTCTATTATAGAGAAGTACAGGATATAAACTTTTAAATCCCCCCCCCCCCCCTCAATTTTCTTATGAAATTAATTTTATTTAATTTATTTGGAATTCTTGTCATGGATGTTGATTTGAACTCAGAATGGAGAATTTTTTTCATTATTCTCACAATTATTGTCAAATATATGTGCTACCCACTTTATTTTAGTGCATTGCCATTGCATGTGTCTCATGTAAATTAACATCTTGCTTCTTTCTTGTGTTCTCTTGTGAAAAGGTTGCATATTCTTCGTATATTTTTTTCTTCAGATTTTATACTTGTATTACCTCTTTTTTGGGTTTACCATCTCTCCATCTTTTTTCTTTGCCTGCCTGCTTTCAGATGCTTTTTTGATCGCTGATTAAATGATAAAATGGAGATGAACATATATGAGGTCTAAAATATTGGAAACCATGTTCGAGTGATATGATGCCTTTGGGAGATCAAAAATTCACACTTCGTGTCAAATACATAAAGATTTGTCAAACCTTTTCATAGGCTGAATCAAATAGAATTAGATATTTGACATATCTATTATTAAGGCAGATGGTGTTTGAGGAAATGCTAGTATAGTGTACATGACATTTTCTTTATCAAAACCTACTGAGCATATGAAGCAAGATAATTGTATATCTGATTGAATTGTCAGATTATGCTGGTATAGCCTTGTTGTCAATCATATAACTTGTATGATTTGCCATTGTGTGCGAGCTATCTTGTTAGTTTATTGTCCTCATGGATGACTGGTCTTGTGCTTCCACCTGTGCTCTTAAAAAACACTACTGAAAGGAGAGAAAAGATTGATTGTGTTAGTTGTGCTTTGTGCATCTGGATGTGCATTCTGCCCAGATTGTGTCAGTGAAAACCTGTCACAATAGAAAACATTGTCTACTCTTGTTTGTATCTCAGAGGAGAAAATACTTTTTTGTCCAGAGGCAATGGTCAGATTGAATGATCAGAATTTTTTCTAAAGTCTTATATTTAATTATTTTAGTATGGATGATAAATATTATTGTAGAATACTAGATTTAAAAAAAAATTGAAATACAATTTGACTTTGAAAGACAACCAGATGCAGGTGAAATGATCTGATTCTGACCTCTATTTATTTCTATTCAAGGTGCCAGACATGCCCAAACTCCTTGACCAGTCTGTGCTGACCAATGCTCGTGACTTGAGACACAAGCTTGGACTGATGTTTCGGGGAACTCAGATTAATGCCGATAAAACCAAAGTGTTGATTTTCAACAACCCTCTGCCAGACTTCAACAACGCGGAGGGAGAAGAGAGCATAAGCCGCTACCTGCCCTCCTGGATGCCAGACAATTGGGTATGTGTTATTTGACATTTTTTTTTAGTTTTAGTTTTAATTTTAGTTGTTTTTTTTCTTTGTCTCACTTCAGATGCTACTGAAGCGTGAAATGGATGTACAACTGCTTATGATAAATCCTAACATGTTTACGATAGAAAATTAGTTGTCTTTATTATTATTATGTTATATTCCTTGAAAATTCTTCAATGCTGAAATTTTGCATGAATGAATGATTATGCATCGACACTCACTTTGTTAACATCAAATCTCCTTCTCAGGATGAAGAATCAGAACACAGCTATAAGAAGTGGTTGATATCCAAGGAAAGTGAACCGTCTCTTCCTATTCAACCTCTTCTTGAACAGCAAACATCTTTTAGTCTTGAAAACATCCCCGAGGATCAAGAACTGGCCCTGAACCAGAATTCCCATGGTGACTTAAGTAACCTTGACCTTGACAAAATGGACATTGGGATGGATATGCTGCCCATAGAAGACCAGTGGTCCTTTTTGAATAATTTGAAACAGATACCTAAGTCCAGCAAAAGCCGAATACATTTTCTGACTGAAAAAGAGGCCACTGTGCCAGGCCAGTTCTCAAGGAAATACAAAGAGCTGGAAGAAAGTCGAACTATTCCTCAAGCTGTCAGCCAGGAGGCAAAGCAGCAGCTGGAACAGCAGAAGCAGCAGTATAGTCAACAGCCAGAGACACCAAGGTCAGCTACTGGAGTCCGAAGCGCGCTATCCATACGAGAAACTGGTAGGTAGCAGCACCTAACATTTTTTACTTATCTGGTTAGGTTTTTAATTTACTGCGAGAGCAAATTTTAAATATTCCTGTTGTCAGATGTGAAACAACTTTCAAGGTCCTCAAAAAGTTCCATGGTTCATGTTAAATTGCTTTTGATGTGTGTACAAATGTAATCATAGGATTTAAGATTCAGATCACAATTTTAAAGACCTTCTCATTTCCCTAAATATAAATTCATTTCCCCAGATATAAATTAAAACCCAGTGTATTAATGGTAGATATCATTCTGTCTTTCAGATTCCAGAAAGTCCCGGTCTCGCACGGCACCGCCTAACTCTAGTGAATTCCAGTATATAGATCGCTACACAAGCAAATGGCAGCCATTAGATATGCATGCACTGTTAGAGTACACAGATAACAAAGGTGCCCCTGGAGAGGGGAAGTTCCGCACTGGACAGACTAAGATGTTCAAAGTAGCATAGAGAAAGAAAGGACCAGAGAGAGAGAGAGAGAGAGAGAGAGGATGAGAGAGATTTTTAGACCAAAGTTAACAATTGCATTCACGTATTTAGATATATATTTATACAATCATGATACCGTCCATTTTATACTTGCGAGCACCATGGTAATGTAAATATGTAAATACTGTTTGATGGAAATGAAGAAGGGTGCTTCAAAACCTGTGATGTTGATTATGATTATCAGATCCAAGACCGTTCTCCCAGTCTATTTAGTTTAATAGGTAAATATTAAAGTGGAGATTGCTGGGCATGAAATGAAAAATACTTGTTTGACAGTCAAATGCTAGGTAGAATTTTTTTTCAAAATGCAAACAGAAACTGAATCTGGCATGTTTGTATGATATCATTTTATTTATTTATTTGTTTATTTATTTATAATTAGATTTTTTTTTTTGCATTTGGGACCATCACGTACCAGTGTGTCAAATATGTACGCATTTCTATTGTCATTCAGGGCATTAAAAGGAAGGTTATTTCAAGAAATAGATTACATTTTACCCAGTAAATCTTAGGTAGCCTTGCACTTTGGAGTGTGAACTTATTGCATTTTTTCACTGCAGCTGAAAGAGTAATAAGATGGAGCAAATATAAAAAACCAATGTGATTGTATCTTTTCTAAGATTTACAGTACAATGAATTATATCTGTATATTAATAATTAAACCTTATTTTTGTACATCAGCAGTAAATATCAATGAAAGAAAATATTATATATTGCCAAAGTAAAATGAACATGTTTGTTTTAGCTGCTGTGGTTTGTTGGTTATTGAACATTTATTTGTTATTGAAAATGAATATTTAATTTGAAAAGATGTAGACACTATAAATATTTGATACCAAAAAAGTATAAAATGAATATTATTATCTTTTTCGAAGTATGATTTATATTTTGTGACTTTCTGTGAAAAGTCTAACGCTGTATTGTTAAATGACCCAATAATAGTTTGTATAATTACTGATGTTGTTAATGTAATTGATACCAACCACGGCAGCTACACAGACAATACCTCTACCTGTGCTGTTGAACAGACAGGACGTGCTAAGTGAAAGCTGTTTAAGAATTTTCAGGGGAGAAAAGACCAAAGGGGACCTTGAATAAAAATATATAGACTTTGGAGAAAGAAACATTGGAAGTTTACAGCTAGGCATAATTTTTTTTAGAGTTGATCTCAGGTTTTCCTTCCTCCTCTCCCCTAAAATATTCTAAAACAGAACTAACAGCCTCTGGTGCTCTTGTAGTGATAGGGACTTTCTGGTTTTGTACACAGAGCTCCCCCAAATGAACAGGCAGTGCTTTGGTGTAGGGCAATATTTCATTAGAAAAATTAGGAACCAGTCAACATCATCTTGGATATCATTTTTTTTTTTGTTTGTTTGTTTTGCTGATACTTTTCTCTGTATTCAAAAATTAAAAGGAGTATCAGCTCTGGTTTCAACAACATTATCTGATAATTTTTACATTCATCAGTTCATTAATTTATCTTCTATTTTTACATTTATACCATGTGTTTATTATTATTATTATTATTATTATTATTATTATTGCCCAAACACTACATGGCCTGTTCCGTTTGTGGAGAGTATGTGTACAAATTCATGCAGAAGGCAGTTCCATTTTCACACAATCTAGACACTGATAGCTGGTGCTGCAGAGAGCTGTACATATGGCTTACATAGAGCACCTTCATATATGCACGCACGCACACGCACCTATATGCACGTGCACGTCATTTAAATGGTATTAATTCACAATATTACTTCGTTGTTTACATGTTCGAATCAACAATTGACAGTTAAAATGTATTTGCTGTTCAAGAATTCAAGAAATTTATAATTTGGTTTTGTCCATTGGTGGTTGCTGAATGCAATTCTGTGATGAAGTTCCTGATTCCTTAATGATGCTTTTGTAAACGAATAAAGAATCGTTCTGGTTATTGTAATGTACTGTTAAAGCACTGTATGGCTATGCAGATATGCTTTTGCACATAATGTAAAATAAAATTGATATTGATCACACATTTAACAGTTGTTATTGTGCTGTGCTCCATCCAGTTCACGCGAAGAAATTGTACAATATGGTTATTTCAAAGACAATGTTATACCATGCTTTGTATTATTTTAAGATGAAAAGAAAGAATGTCCAAAGAATGTGTATATTTAGCTAAATTTTCAAAAATTAAATGATAATCGTAAGGCATGGCAGTGCAAAATTAAAACTAATGTTATGCGGGTTTCTGGCGTTTTTTTTTTTTTTTTTCAATTACGTCAACAGTGTTGTCGCCAAAATATAAAATTGCAACACTTGGGTTTATTGCAACACATGTAATTTTCTTACGCTAAATGTAACAATAAATAAAGTTTTAAATCAATAACACGGTTTCAGAGTAAGGAATGAAGAACAAATTTTCCTGGTTTCAAATTCATTGCATCAGTTGAAGGCTCACTGAAATCGGTATCTTGTATGGCCTCCTCAGGCATCACACACAGCCTGGATTCTGCGATGCATGGAGTCAATAAATTGCCGAATTTCAGCCTATGTGATGCGGCCCATTCCTACTGGAGTGCTTAATGCAACTGTCGGACTGAAGCCGGTTCTGGATCACGCCTTCTCAGCAGGCGAACCAGAATATTCATAGATGTTCTACAGGGTTTTAATCTGGGTAATACTATCACTAGTACTGGTGCTTCCTGTTTCATTATAATGGTGTAACAGTAATCCAACACCCCATTTCCATAGATTTTTAGATCGATCTATCCCTGTGGGGAGTCTCACTAGATTACTGTCAGCTTGGCAGGCTTAAGGGTCTGTCCCGCCTACTAAAAGCTGTAAGGGGGTAATTAACTATGGTGCCCGCTCGGCTGACTGCAATTTAGCGTGAACCCCCAGGGAGTTAGGTCGATCTAAAACTTAATCTTTAGATCGATCTAAATCTCTGGGAAAGCACCCAAAGTCCGTAGGACTACCATTACTTGGGAATAATAGTCCTACTGGGACTCGGGTTCCTGGCTCATAATTATAGTAGAACAGTGGACTAAAT